CGACTTCACTAACGTCCAATTTCCATCACGATTGTTTGTTAATAAGTTATAAATTGGAGAGTTTTTATGTAGTGCTCATTCGGGAGACCTAAGAGTTCTTACTATTATGTAGCAATGAGTGTTGCTTGATATCTAGTTTGCAGGCTTCAAAGTTGAACAAATAAAACTACGTTTTCATGATTCAATGCTAGCTTGTGTGGCTAGCTGCATAAGAAATGCTTCGCCTTTACTCATGTCTTAGCGTTATACACATCTGGTGGTTATCCGTCTCGTGGAAAACAGTTCGGGAATCTCTACATTTATTTAGAAACACCTTGCCAACACATGAAAACTGATGTAGCTGTTCACAGAAACGCTTTCATGGTCATGAAGTCCTGCTTGCAGTTTAAGGTTGCTTGAATTTAACCCATGTGGTGCGTAAAAATATCGGCATGTCTTCATTCATAAGAAAAACTCTGCAAATTACCATCCAGAACAAATAGTTCGTTGGGTAAGAGGAGAGTGGTTGCGTAAGCCAACTGAGCTAAATCTCTTTGTAAATCTACCTTGAGAATAGAATGAATGCCTAGAAGGTCTAGTGGGGGAAAATCTACCCATGTGCATTTATCACAGTTAAAAATTTTGGCAGAAAAGAGATTGTTGCAATTGATTGTAAAACATATTGCAGTTTCTGCCCATTTGAGAACACCGATCTTCGCTTGTATCTATGGATTCCATTGACTTTTAACAATCAAAACGCCACACAAAAGTGCATAAGCAATCACGAAATCGATATCAGACATTCTATTCGGTTTCTGCAACAGAATTAGGTACTGCGCAACAGCTGATCGGGGGATTTACAACCGAGTACAGGTTGCCACCAAGCTGCAAAGAAATTTGTCGAAGACAGTCGACGAAATATACACGAAGCATACTCGGTATGCCAAATAATAATTATATGAACCATTTATTTAAACGACCTTCCGCACAAGAAATACGTGAATGCTCAAGAACAATATCGAACAAGTTCCATATAAATTCATCCAACAAGAGCAAAATAAGCACCAAAATCACGTCAGCTGCGTTTGCCTGGATGACTATCCCCAACTGGAGTCAACTAAGCCACGCAAATGCTGTCAAGGTAAGGCTAGAGGCGCCACTTCAAATAGGGGATATGTCATATACTCGGCCGCCATTTTGAGATTGGTAACAGTTTCTGGCCAATTTATGAAACGATTTATAAATGAACATGCTAATGGTCATTTGGAGATTGGAATTATTCATCAATGTCAAGATAAAAGTTAGTAATAGTGGATTCGGTATGTAGACGGGTCCGAAAGGATGGTGATATTTGATACAAGCAGGCGTCCAAACTCTACCAAACCAATACTTGAAAATCTAACAAAAAGGTTAAGTATGCGGCCAGACAAACTACTCTGAGAAAATTTGTCTGTGGCATCAACACCAAGGGGATCATCCGATGAAAATAATTACCGCAAAATAGTCATGACTATTGATGACAGTAATAATATGAGTAAGGCGAAGTGTCAATCTTATTCATCAGGACTGTCACTACTCCCTCTGAAAAATGTCCGCCAGCTCACCTCATACTAGGTGAAGCGTTTAAAATGGCAACCAGTGTTCCCCAGTTCTTATTACTTCTCTGCTTATTACTTCAATAAAATACTATGGGACGTTACGTCTAATATTTTACCTTCAAATGCTACATCTGTGCTTTGTATACCCTTTTACATTTTTGTCTAAGTTAGACAATTTTGGACTGCCGTGTATTTTTTGTTTGAATGCGCATTTTCGTAACTGAGGGCCATCGCATTTTTAGCCATTGTGCTGTTGATATTTTGGATGCCGGATAGTCTCATAAGTAGAGGTTTTTACCAAACCTACCTGGTATATTTTGTTAAATAAAACAGTATATCTTGCAGTGTCCTCAACTGTTTTGGTTTTGACACAAATCCATTTGAAGGAGTTTGGGTTGTTTTGGATTTTGAGTCGAAGAATACGAGTGTGTATATTAATTGAGAGTTGTTCGTGAAGTGGCTGTAACATAATTTACTAAGAAATATTCGATTGAATAAAATTTTTTTTGAATCTCCCTATAATTGATTCTGATTGACCAAAATGCTTTGTCCTTACTGACATGTCACCTTGTAATGCGGACGCCTAAACGCTTCGTAGCAGAAAGTTTAAAGCACAGAAGAAATGAATTTATTCGTCCATAGAAGGCTGCTTAATCACAGGACGGATGATGCCCACCGGTAAAAGCCCTCGCGAAGCTAGTTGGTCTCTAAGTCAAAAGCAAGATGAAACATTGAGACACACAAAGTCTACATCACGTCTGAGACCATTTCGGCTGTTTTGACTGCAGAAGAAATTGGGTGCAGTATAAAGGTGTTAGGACTCGATTGTCGCGAATAGAAGAGACAATAACCCGCTCTGTTTGCTCAGATGAGAAAAGCAGACTGACGAAACGGCTATCATGATGTCATGAACAACATCGAAAGCTCTGGCGCAGAGAGGACTAATATCCCCCTGAATAATTATGGAAAGATCCAACCCAGTATAAAGGAAAGTTACAATAATACAATTCTGTGCGCGTACGAACAACGCAGGGGACAGAAGAAGGCGGAATTTCAATCGAGGGCTGCAGGTAGCAATAAATAAGACCTCAAACGGCATCTTCGAGATCCCGGTGGGTGGCATGAGTGCCAAAGAGAAATCAGGCAATAAAGGACTGATCAGCACTGAAAATGTGTTCCACTCGGAAGGCCAGGTCTGAATAAAAATAATGATGAATCTTCCTCAAATACAGGGTTTATGTAGGGCAGGAAGATGCCTGCTTTTATGTATGGTCTCCACTTGCGTCGTTAACGCGGGATATTATGACAAAAGATGCACACGTCACATCTTTCAAAGCTGAGAATCCTTAGGAGTTTTATGCTGCGTGACGTGGAAAGAATAGTGCAGAAATCAAATTACACACATATAAGCTATTGAAGTCTGGAAGAAGAGCCGAACGGAATTCCCAAAGAATCACTGAAAACGGACCCAGAGACTACAGCAAATGTGCTGACGCCATCACTGCTAAAGTTTGGAAGAAAGGGTGCCTATTGATTGGGAGAAAGTCTATCTCGTCAAGACACCAAAGAAGGGCGACTTGGGCCTCCGCAAAAACTGATGCAGAATAACGCTGTTGGCCAAGCCTAGTAAAATACTAAGTTGTATCATCCCGGAGAGAATCAAAGATGCACTGGACACAGAACTCCACCCCCAACCAGAACAAGCTCGATGCAGGAAAGGCAAACCATGAACTGATCAAATTGCAACTCTACGCATCATCACCACAGAATAAAGCACAGAACGGCAGTCAAATATATTCCTGGACTTCGCCGACTTCAAAAAGGCCTTCGACAACGTTGACTGACAAGTAATCTGGAAACTACTCCAATTCTACTGCGTGCAGTGCCCAAGTGTTTATCAACTTCATTCAACAACCATATGACAGCGCCAGGTGTCAGGTGATCCACAACGGAAAACTCATTGAAGCCTTTGAAGTTAAGACGAGAGTAAGACAAGAGTGCCTTCTATCACCGACAATATTCATAAGTGCGGTAGACTGGCTAATGCATCAGACTGTGGGGAGTGGGGAGACAGGAATACGGTAGACTGACCGATAGGAATATTCAAGAAGATCTCGACGATTTGTGTCTAATGTAACATAGACTCGATGACTTATGTTTGAAAACCAACAAGTTGGAAGATGAAACAACTAGAGAAGACAGGACTGCAGGTGAACAGGCAGAAGACGGAAGTGATGAAATCAACCAACCACGGCAACAAGCACTAATCACTATCAATGGAATATCACTGAAAGAGGTCATTCAGCACAGAGAACAAGTTTCGGACTTCCAACACAAATGTCAAGTCAGTTCTTGTATACGGGTCAGAAACTTGGAGTATGCTACACGAAAAGCATCTTGAACAGGTAGCAGACTTTAGTCAACAGATGAAGATAAAATGGCTGGCCAGAAAGAATTGGCAGCAAGAAACTCTGGTTATGAGCCAACCAAGAGCTGATCGTTCAACAAATATGTAGGTGGAAATGGAGGTGGATCGGGCATGTGTTGAGGAGGTGATTGAAAGACATTTCGCTCAATGCAGGCCACCACTCGAGTGGTATCCCAATGGGAAGTGATGAGTGGGTCGTCGGTTCAAGGATGACATAGAAGAGATCGTGCGAGGTGGAGATGGGAGATTATAGACAATCATGGACCCGGATGAAGAGGACATCAACAAGCAGAACAAAGCGGGTATGTGTTGTTGAAGCCCTATGTTCCACTCAGAACCCTATAGAAAATAATAATTTAATGGCGTACGCTTATAGAACACTTTGAACTTACGGAAACACTCAGTCATGTTACTCAGCAGTTTGCATGTGAAAAGCTACCTACAGGGTCAGTACACAAAATTGCATTTATTAACATTTGGTTATTTTTGAGTGTGTTGGGATGGATTTAGGATATTAGACAGAGCACGTAAAAGGCCTAAGATCATTTATCGGCTTTACAAATGGCTTGTCGTTTTCATTCCATCCACAACCGACCCCGTTAGCAGGTGACCTTTAATCAAGAAGTGATGGAAATGGACATTTTAGTAATCCTTGGGTATTGTCTCTAAAGGTCTATCAGTAAATAAATTCGTCCTGTGAATAGTGCGGGAATCAGCCAGTGTGCATGACACTAGTCGGTACGAAAAATTTGCCCTATTAGCCAGCATTCTTCTCTTTGAGAATGAAATAAGATATGATATGCTACATCACTTGAGGTTTGTTGGATCCAAAAACGTATTTCTTAAGATCCAACTGATAAGTAAGCGTCACTTGGACTCAGGGCAAATCATCTTTGTATCTTTTCATGATACAGAAGTATGCAAGAAATATAAGTTAGCAGTTGACATTTGTGTTGGAACACCTCTCATATCTGAATTTCTTGGAATTTAATCATATCTTCCATTGGTTCTATTGGACACTTTTGGCAGGTGCTTTATTATTTGCGTTACAGTGCAATGGCTTTAGGAAGAAAAAATGCGGTGAGTTTATTTGTATTTTTCTGTTATTTGAGAATTAAATCAATCTGGTGTTTGAAAATCGTAGGCAAATTTCAGATAATAGCGTCCCACGTAGTGACAAATGGAGGGGATCCAAAAATATATGACATGTCACTCGAACTGCGCCGTAAAGGTCATATTTTCTTTGTAGTAGGCGAGAGATTCATGGTGTAAGTGTTTTTCTTACGCTTAGTTTTCATAAGCATATAAAATAGTGTGAACACTTATCTCTTCAGTCCTGAATTACGACCGCGTGGCACATCTGCAGGAAAGTTGCAGTCACAATATAGTGAATGGTTCTTAAACTGTTCCTCTACACGCTGAATATGAGTGATTAAGTATAAGCCTAAAGAAACTGCTGTCACCGACAACTGGTAGAACTGTGACCTACTTGGTAATCAAAATGCAGTTTTAAGTTTTATATGAGGACTTTAGGGTTCTCATTTTGGGACGGATCAATAGAAGTAGACATATCAATACTGGAATCGTTTAAAAGATACAGATCTTATTATAAAATGTCTTACGAATAGGTAAACGGTTGTTTAGCTGCCACAAACGCTGTCGTTATGGAAGGTGAGTGTACCCACTAAACATGTCACTCAACTGTTTTCTGTTTTGAACAATACTCTAACTTCCAAAAGGTTACATTAAGCATGGTATTGCACATTCAACGCATACTAGCCTTAGTATATTCTCATCAAGGCGTTTGAATGCATTTTAGAGTGTATCAGATAAAAATACCCTTCAGTGCTTTACTGTTTTTCAAACCATTTGGGGTTGTCTTCTCAGTACTTTTGTTCAAAGACACAAGATGACAGAAATACACTTGTCTAGGAGTAACCGGAGTGTTTTTAATCAAAATGAATTTCGACAGTTTGAGAATTTACCCTGAAATAATGGTACAGTTCTTGGATTAAATGAAATAGGAAATGGTCCACACTGCATGAGAGCTAATTTCTAGATAAGTAGGTAGGTGCGTCTGGGTTCAAACATATGATAATGATACCGAGGCAGTGTTTTATGAAAAGGCTTCGACAAACAGTCACCTCGGGTGTTACGTTTTGCCATACCCAGTAGTCATGAAATAAACAGCGTCGTATTGCTTAGATTTCGTTTCTTAACTTTCTGTATGTATGAGTTGGTTCTAGAGGCGTATGCACATCAATAACTACATGGAGTGTCATCTACAGATGCAGTAATAGAAAGCCTTCGAATTTAAAATGGTGCGTTTGCGTAGTTACATGTTAATTTTCTTACGCGGAAGTACTCTGGAAAAATCGTAATCTTCCGTACTGTGGCTGAGAATGATTATTGTTAGCAGTCCAATCATGGACTTCATCTCTTGATCCTAATGAAATATCTATAGAAGTAAGACGTTACTATATCCTTTGAAGGGGGTTGAAGTCTTCTGTGGGTGGTATAATAATGAGCTGTTTATACTTTAGACTGACCTCAGATTCCTGTTAGAACTCAGTTGACTGGGACTCATTTCTCAGGTATTAGGCTACATGTCACAGTCACTGTGGGGGTGGGTGATACTACTCAGTTGTCCAGGTTGAAGGGGGTGGAACAGGATTCGAATACAGAACTCATTGGCTGAAAACCAAGTGGTGAAGTCAGTGGGTCACATTTCCGCATTTGGTTATCTGTTATAGACTTCTGATACATTCGCAACTGGCTGACTGACTGGTTTCACCGTAGAACTTTGTACAGATGTGCAACAATTCGAGTCTTCATATTCCATGTAGCACAGAAAGCAAGACGTAAGAGAGATTCAAAAGACAGAGGGATAATAAACAGAAATATGAGGCAAAAACAATAGTAATGTAAAAGAGCGTTAGGTTCTTATCGGATATTATAAATCACAAGGAGTGAGTGCATTTGCGCTACTGAGAATGAGGATTTTGAGCCATATTATCAACTGTCTCCAGCCTTCATTGGTTTTTACCATCCCGAGGACTCTGACAAGTCAGTAAGTCTACACCTTACGTGGCTGGCTTGAACTAACTGTTGTGGATTTCATTGACTGATGAGGCCTTGTTTTGGTTTGACCACCACCGGCTAACTCTTTTCCAACCAGATCTATCCTATGTCAGCTAATATCGTCCATTGGTTGAGGAAGGCGATGACTAGGCTAGGCATGCGTAACACATGTCATAACAATCTCGAACGAAGCCTAACCTCAATATTATTCACCCTATTATGTCATTTAACACGGAAGATAGAACACAGACATCTATGATTAAAGACAGCTAGCCGGCCTTCCATGTATCGCGCACAGCAATAAAGGAAGACAGAACGAACTGGTGAACAGTACACACGTCCTTTGCTTGACAGCGACTCAGGGGTTGACATGTTACCAGGGTATAATCTCGTTGACTCGGAGTATGCGCATGATATAGTCCTTCTAGGTGAAGACGCTGACAAAATGTAGAGTCTTCTAAATACCTTGAGCAGCAATCTTCACGTGTTTGGCATCAGATTCACTTCCATCAAATGTTAGATGATGCTACAGGACTGGATGACATTGACTCCTAGGTTAAATATAGGAAGTAATTAATTATTGTACGAAACTGTGCCGGGTGTTGCTTATTTTAAGAATAAGGCGTTTGGTCAGCTGATATTCTTTGGGGGTAGAGCTTCCAACTGTATTCTAATCATCATCTTTTACGGAAATAGGACCAACAAAAGATCTGAAACTACGGTTCAGCACTTTAATTCATTGATTAAAACGTAAGTCAGGAGACGAAAAATAAAGCAAATATGGTATATTAGATACAATGTGAATAAGCTTAAAAACATATCTGTATCACTTGAACCGTATTACGTAGAGTAGTTGAAAATATCCGAGGCTGATGCAAACTGGCTCACTGGGTTTTTGTTTAGGTTGTTAACAGCCAGTAGCTGGAGGTTGTTAATGACATGGATCAAATTTGTTCTTAGTAGTGCGGACGCCTTTATTCCTTGTGATCTCCCAGATTCTGTAATTATTCTTCCCCCCTTACATTTTTGTTGTATTTTCGTTGCAGTTTCTTCTCTGTCATTATGTGTACTAAAACTGCTACACTTTCGTGCATAGTTCTACGTCAAAATTCAATTTAATTCAGTATCCGTATTGGTTGTCTAATAGACTCCAATCAGAAAAAATTTTTTTTTTAATCTTTCAGGCCGCTATAATAAGGTGCCTAAAGGATTGATAATGTATCTAAGTCTACCGTAGGCATTTGCCTAAAGTGGAAGTACTTTAGTTGACAATACAGAATCAGAAGTACACAGTGGGATGGTTTATGTAGCATCCACTAACTGCCTGTGTCACTGAGATTTTTATGAAGTAAGTCGCTGGACTGAAGTATCTGAAAGAGACCTCAGACTCCCAGTATAGTGGAAACAACTTACACTTTGTTGATTATAGCTTTCAGTGAAACTGCTCTCCGGCCTAACCTGGTGTGGTAGGTAATATAGGAATATTAGTTGCAGCGAGTATATCTTGTTAGGTTGTTGTGCTTTACCAACCCAAATACAACGTTAAGATATTAGCTATCGGTAAAGCACTTAGCCTTTGAATGAATATAGTAATATACTTGTCAAGCTGTAGTTACTGGAGTAAGATTTGTTTCTCTTTGCAATAGTTGGCGATCTACACCAGTTTAACGAAACTATCGTAAAGTAATAATTAAGGTAATTCGATCGATCATTTGAAGTAGTCAGACTGTTACTGTTACCGCTGCATTATGTGAACTTGGAAATACTATTTTAAATGAAAATAAAATATATTTTAATAGTCCTATCCGCTTTCAAGTACTAATTGTGTTTCCCTTAAATTTCATTGCCAGACTCGTCTCCCACCTGAAGTTAACAGGATATTGTTGGTAAAAAACTTGCCGTATAACATATCAGCAGAAGAAATGTATGATATTTTTGGGAAGTATGGTGCTATCCGTCAAATTCGTATTGGTAACACTCCTGAAACTAAAGGCACTGCTCTGGTTATTTACGAAGATATCTTCGACGCTAAAAATGCCTGTGATCATCTCAGTGGTTTCAATGTGTGCAATCGATACCTTGTAGTTTTATATTACCAGAGGAATAAGGTAATTTCTGCTTTCATGTTTTTAAGAAAAAATATGCTTTAAATGCATGGTAATTCATTTGTGTATGAATCATCAGCATTCCTTGTTTGTGCTTGATATATATATATATATATATATATATATATAACACGTACGACTATGATACATTGGGGGATAATTGAAGGTCAAAAGAATGATCCTTATTGTGTATTGCATCATCTGGAATGAATTGTGTGTGTTCCATTACACCTTCCCTTAGTTCACATCTAACCGAAAGGGCTGTAACTACTGCTCGTAAACACAATACATTTTTACATTTAATGGTGAAGTTACTAACCCTTTAAGGAATGTTGCTAACTGGTTTTTACGTAAAGTGAGAGTATTTCCGCCAGAAATTTAGCCAATGAGTTTCATTTTTAGGACATAGCAAAAGTGACCATACTTTTGGGCATGTCAAGCGCTGAGACGTAACTCCGTATAGGGTAGCAAATGATCACGAAATGCGATATTTGGGTGTAAAATTTCTTGGAAGGAAAGACAAGTTGATCTGATCAGTCTATAGGAAACATTCGAATATTGTCAATCCGATTTAGCGTGTTTGTCTAGGAAAATTCTACTTATTTGCACATCAGATATATTAGAACAGGAAATCGAGCTGTCATCCGAAATAAGCTGCGTTGTAGAATCTAAGTATATTGCAGAAAACTGCTGATTTTGAAGGTCTATTCATTATATCTAGCTGATAGAATATTCGCATAATTAGGTGACAGTCAAACAGAATAAGTTTAGGAGAGAGCTAAATTCAACTATGGAGAAAATATATTGTGGAATGAAGTTTATCATTCTTGTGTTTTCTTAAATTCATGTGTATGTTTTACATTAATACTACGGGTTTTCTGAAAACGTATTATTCTCCCAGTATTAATGATCACCTTGGTGTATTTCTTCGGTCGCATTTTGTATTTACAGTGTCGTGATTAGTAGATATACGATCAAATTATTCGTAGTGTACTGTACAAACAGTTGATTACTGATAAAATTACCTCCAATGACAGTACTGTAGTGAGATGTCTGCTGATTTTAAACTGATGTTTCCAAATAAATAAGATATCTGCTAGATTCAGCATTCAAGATTCTGTCGAAACTACATTATTGCGAAGTTGAATTCTATTTTCATTTTGCAACTGAAGTTGCTTGATTTATGAGCTGTAACCTACTTGTTGTGCGTCGATGGTATAGCGGTTAGGACGCTCGCCGACCATGCACATGGTCTGGGGTTCGACCCCCGGCCGACACACTCCTTTACCTTGCTGAACTAGAAATAATGCTGGGGATGAGGAAAGGTTGGGCATGAGGCCAGCAACCCCACCCTGTAAAATAAACACTGCTACAGAAACTTCAAGCCACTAGCTTGAAGCCCTATGTTCCACTGGGAACGTGAAGGAAAAAAAAACAACCTACTTGTTAGTGCAATAGCATCAAATCTACCAGTGTAGTACTACTATTACTGCAACGCTTGTAAACTGTGTAGACGGTCGGAAATAAGTCTTCATCAGCTAGTTTACCAAATATCTGAATATTAGACAGTGGTTTCACTCATCTTTTAACACATGTTACCAGGTTATCGTTTACTGTTGTACTGTTAGGAAGCTTTTTAAAAAATTCCATTGCGTTCCCAGTGGGGCATAGTGCTTTAAGCTTGAGCTTTAGATCTTCAGCAGCTGTGGCGTTTTTTGTCTTATGAAGCGGGGTTGCTAGCCTCACGCCCAATCTTCTCTCTTTATCGGGCATACGATGGGCTAGGGGAGGTAAAGATGTGCGCTGCGCGGGAATCGAACCCCGTACGTACCACGTGGGATGGTGGTTGGCGAGTATTCTACCTCGGAACCGCCGACTCACAGAACCATGGAGTACTGGACAGATGTGTCGTCCTAGATTAGGTATCTTCAAGAGCGCCCACCCATGAGCCCACCAGGGGGAGTCGGACCCACAACTTTCAGGTTACAAGTCGAGCTCGTTTAACATTGAGCCATCGGGACCACCGGTGTTTGAGCTACAGCAACATAACTACTAAGAAGCGGTGGACAGTGGCAATCAACTGCGAAAACCGTAAGGAACATCTTACTGTGGAACCAGTGTAAATGAATAAGTTCAACTAATCGTCTGCTGTATGAAGTGCTTTGATAACTTACTGCTATCTGCATCTTCATTTTCAGTAGATATATAGATTGCATTCACAGTCAAAATTCTTTGCAAGCAACTAAGTGTTTTCATTTTATGGTGCGTCTGTATCTATGTGTGCGTGTGTGGTTTTCTTATCTTCATAACATTTTTTCTTTTTCTTTCAGCAATTTAAGAAAACTGATGTTGATAAGAAGAAGGAAGAATTGGACCGTTTGAAGGCAAAGTATGGTTTAAATACTCCGAAGGTGAAATAATAATGTTGTCATTTGTGAACAACTGTCCGATGAATTATCTTCATCTGAATTCTTCGAATGTGTGCGTGTGTGTGTATTACACACGAAGTTGTAATTTTAACAATTATTTTTCACAATTATAATTAAATATTTAAATATTCTGTATAAAAGTTACATAGAAATCATTGTTTTCTAAAGAAAGAAATTATGATATCTGAATAGTGAAAAACAAAACAAAACAAAATTCAGTAGTATCACAATTGTGGCTTGCTTTGAGAGTAGAATAACATGAAAGTGTATTGTCTGCATAGCAAAGTGCATTCACATACATAGACCGTGCGCATATTAGTAGTAATTATACATATAACAAACAATAAGGTATGAATGATGAATGCACATGATTATTTAGTTGCTTTTTTAAATTTTGCTATTTCTATATTTGACAAATGATACATAGTGAAGTGTTTGTTTGTTGGTCTTTTTCCTAATCATCAATGCGGGTGTAAATTACTTCCTGAAATGGTGTTAGAAGTAATTCAGTTTAAGTTAATATTATACTACTAATGCTTACTACTATTATTGTTATTATTCTCATGACAGTAGAAAGAAAGCAGAGAGATAGGCCGAAAGAGAAATAGATAGAGAAAGATTACGAAAAATGGTTTGATTCTGAAAAGATTTTCATCACTGAGCGATCATCAGCTTCTGATTTGAACAGTTTACACCTATCATAGGAAAAAAATAAAAGGGAATGATGAGTTGAACAGTTATAACAGGTTGAATTGTGTACAATTATAGACAAATTGACAAAGATTTGTTTGATACTGAAGACGTAGACAAATTGTTTTGCTGTTGACAGCAAAGGATAGTTTCCTTTCATCAATTGGGGGGTAGGTTTAGGTGAACTGGCAAGTGGATAGGGTGGCGATGGGCTCCCCAATGCGTCCCATTCTAGCTGATTTCTTTCTAAGTAAGCTGCGTCGGTGGCATAGTGGTTAGAATACTCGCCAACCATGCATATGGTCCGGGGTTCGATCCCCGGCCGGCGCACTCCTTTACCTCGCTAAGCCAGAAATAATGCTGGTAAAGAGGAAAGCTTGGGCATGAGGCTAGCAACCTCATCCTGTAAAAATAAACACTGCTACAGAAACTTCAAGCCACTAGCTTGAAGCCCTATGTTCCACTGGGGAACGTGAAGGAAAAAAAGCTAGAAAATGGACCTTTGAACAACCTTATCAGTAAGCTCTCATTTTATTGCCGATATATGGATCACACATTCATTCTTTGTGATAATGGTTCTGATAAGAGTACAATAATGACTGAATTCAATGAAGCACATTCGGCTATGAAATTCACATACGAAGAGGAATCCCAAGACAGAATTGCCTTCCTTACAATAAAAACAAGATGGTAGCATAAAAAGAAATTTGCATAGAAAAAGCACTTGGACAGGACAATATACACATTTTCACAGCTTCGTTCGTATCAAGTACAAAAGAAACTTAGTGAAGACCCTCAGCCACAGAGTTAGAGCTATATGCTCAGAAGAAGTAATTAAAGATGAATTAAGCATTGTTTATGAAACTTTAATCGAAAATGGCTATCCTGACAAATTTATCAAGAAACATATGACAAAGAAAACGGAAAAGTACTACTCACTATCTGTAAACAACAAGCCTCTTTATACACGACTACAATTCAAGAGCGATATACCAAGTGAGATAATTACGAGGAAATTAAGAAAATCAGTTCAAGGAACTTTTAATGCTGGCGAACTACACATCTTATTCTCTACACGATCGATGGTGCTACCTCGACTGAAAGATGAAGTACCTAAACTAGCCACTTCAGATTGTATCTGCCAATTCAACTGCGCTTTTGGAGCGAGTTCTATTGGCCGTCGCTCTATGAACTTGATATTTTGTTCTCTAGAACATCTCCCACTATGGCTAAGTAAAGGTGTAGTTAAAACCATTAACAGTTCGATATTGGACCATCTGGTGCAAACCGGCCACAAATATATAACTGTAGAGTCTGATGATAAAGTTATCGAAAAGAGTACTCTTTGTTCAGTATCCATTCTTTTGAAAATAGTATTATTGTCCTTCAGAGTACCTTGGATGCATTACCATAGAAGCACCATCATCTCTAAAATGAAGAGGGAATCAGAGCTTAGGCGCGTGTTTTGTTGAGATAAAGGTAGGGTTAGTGGGTTCACATCACTGATAAGTAGGTCTCTATTTATAAGAAGGCATGCAAAAGAGACAAAATCATTGTCTTTTGATTTTTTAAACTAATATTGATATTATTTTAAGCCGTATTCATAGTTGCATTCATACGCAGTTGGCTTTTCACAGAAGAACGTAATCTTCTAAACTGTCTTGTGATATTACAAATATAAGTGACGAAATGATCTGCGTGTTTCCTTTTCGGAGTTCAAGCGGAATTACTCATACATAGTATAGTACACTATCTGTTAGCTGTGCCTTCACAGTCATTATAATCTCTTTCAAGTTTGACCATGGATTGATGTCAGTTAGAGAACCGTTGAAAACCAGCAGGGAGTACTAGACGTCTGTTTCGTCCTAGTTTGGGACTCATCAGGATTTCAAGTAACGATAAGAATAACTTAGGTAGTATGTTCATGTAAACATTTCAATAATTAAGGTCAAATCTTAAGAGTTACGTAATACTAAGGGTGGAGTGGATAGGTAATAAGAGTTTAAATGAATATCGTAAAATTAAGAAAGAAATGAAAAATAAGAAATTATGCGAAGTTTTTTAATCAGAATTTACCTAGGCCAAGGTAGAACAAGCTTATTTTGTATACAAAGACCAGGATTATTGCCTCTAATTCCTATAGCTTCGGCTATGTGTAAAAGACAGGTTCAAATCCGCTTCTAGAGGTCCGATGGAATGCGATAGATAACTTCACAACTAAGTTGTTGTAAAGACGGATGTTAATCAGAAAACGAACTGAAGTAAAACGTGAACAGATCTCAGTAGGTTGAATTTCAAATCAGTTGAAAAAGGTGATGTAAGAGGATTAAGTGCCAGCCTGAGGAAATGATAATGTGAAAAGTTATTAAAACTAATAACCCATTTCATCAGATTGAATAAGGCTTGAACTTGAATGACCCTTGAGTGATACCTTTCTGACTGACTGGTCTCAACATAGAAATATAGCAGTTCGGGTTGTCTTCGGCATAATGTAATAACTTTCTACACTATGCTGGGGTTCTGTGGGTAAAGTCGTGCTTCTGAGGAACAAGGATGTAACAGCAGTGAGGTGTTCCCCTCAGATAACTAGCATGCCAGCTATGCTGCCTCTCCATTCTGGAGATGTGGGGGTTAGAAGAGGTCGACTCCAAAAATTGTACATTACGACTTACCTTATGGTGGTCCGTAGCCAGCTGTAGGTAAAACAGGCCGTGTGTGATCGGGCTCAAGCATTTGTTGTCTGGACTCTGCGGTCCTGCAACACCTCAAGAAAAAAATCCTGGAGCGCCTACCTGTTATCATGTTTTTTAAATAGGCACTTAGTTATTCCACTACTACTACCACCTGAATACATTAAAGTTATCGTAATTTGGTTCTTTTCTTGTTTTCTTAGATTGTCTGTTCCAGTAGATAAAAATTAGAGTAGGTATAAAGGAGTTTGAAGTATACCTGTTGTTATGTTATTCTAACAGTGATGAAGATTTTTAGATTAAATAGATTATTGAGTTTCTGAACACATGAAATACCCAACGTTTATTCTCCTCGTAGTGTCGAAGTGAAGAAAGACTGTTGTTAGTAGTAGAACTACAAGAGTTTATCTAAAAGTAGGGGACAGTAAGTAGCTGTTGAAATTCCTCCTCTCATACTTTTGCGAAGTCTAATTTTTTGTGATGCTTCATCTTTCCTATGTTGGATAATTAAGGGAATCCTCCTTCCCTTTGTTATTACAACCCACCTCGCTCAAAGCCAGAGATAGGTCTTACCACTAAGCTATTTAAAGTGCATCTAATTCTCAATAGGACTGAATTAATTCTGAGAAATGAATGTCGGAAATTGACGAAATAAAGATTGTGAGGGAGATGAATAGTATTTAATGGCTTTAAACAATAACCATTAGGAACAATCTTTGGATTATATAGATCATTAGATTCCGTCCTGTTGACTGAACCGTTATTAGATGGTTGAAGGCAATTGTGAGCCTGAACAGATTAGTGGTAACTTCACTGACTGCAGAACTGGGTGACACTGATTCAAATCTCAGAAGGGACATGATTTCCTTCAAGACAGCTGATGCGCTTTGCTGACTGGTGAGTGACAAGAAGCATGAAACCCAGGTCCAAGGCTTCCTACCGATTGCTTCCATTCATCTAATAACAACAGTGCACTGTGATGAAGAACCACCTAGTATGTTGGCCACATTGCAAACTTGACTAACTGACTGGTTTCAACGTAGAACTTTGCGTAGATGTGCAGCAGTTCGAGTCGCCACACTCCATGTAGCACACAAAGTAAGAGAAATAAGTAGAAAGAGAGATAGGGAACAGAAATATGAGGCAAAAAGAATAGTAATATGGAAGCAAAATAGAATTTTATTGGATATTATAAATCACAAGGAGTGGATGAATCTGCGCTATTGAGAATGAAGATTTTGAGCCATATCACCAATTGTCTCCAGCCTTCATTGGTTTTTACCATCCCGAAGACCCCAACTAGTCATGAAGTGTACACGTCCGTACGTGACTGTTATAGTTTTCATTAGATATAATAGAGAAGATTTGTAGCTCAGGTGGATGATTTTGGTGTGGTTGTGTTCTCTCTCCAGCTCAGAGAACACAACCACACCAAAATGGTTTTCATTAACATGAAGCCATGTTTTGGTTTGACCACCACTAGCTAACGCTTTTCCAACCTGATCGATCCTATTTTAGCTAACATCACCCGTCAGTCGAGGAAGGTAATAGCTAGGTACGCGTAACACGTGTCCTAACCCAACTTGACTGGTAGAATTCATCCGGCACCAAGAATAGTTCTAGACACCTGACACTATCCAGTGTTCAATCAAAGTGATTAGACCGTTAATATGGCGGCTATAATTACTGATATTTTTTTCAGTTTTACCCAACAAAGTCTGTGAAACAGTCTTAAAACTAGGCAAAACTATTATCTAATACTAGTTCATACTGTTTTGTAAATGTGCATTTTTTAAACTGGTGCAAGGGGACATTAAAATATTAGAGTTAACCATTTTGAAATGAAATTCAAAAGAACTTACATAATTTTTTAAATCTTGATTGTTAAATTCTCTTAAGTGCCACGGAATGCATAAAAGAGTTCATCACATCGTTCTGGTCCAACATGCTGTTCTAGTTGAGTTCGATTCATTGTATAAAGATCCATTCCATTGAATCCTTTCAAGGCAGATATAGTTCTAAAGTTTAGAGAAAAATAAATATGATTAAGTTATTTTAGCAGGATAGTGTTTAAATGAAGTCTTGTGTAAATGGTATACAGATTTTTTAAACTGCAGTTAAGGAGTTGGTCACAGATGTGAAAGTGCCTTATGATTTAAATTGTAATACTATCTGCATTTATTGCTTTTATCATCTTATACTTATGGCTTCATTGATTACACCAATGAAGCTATTCTGGTACATTTCCCGGTTTTTCTTAAAATAACTAATTCTCATTTCGAAGTGCCAACGTGAAATGTAGTAACTTGGACTGATATGCATTTGTACAAGATGTCCTTTTATGTATTTATATTTCTGCGATAACTGCCAAACCTTGTCCATAACTCTTAGACTGATAGGATGAATTTCCACATTATTATTATTCTCTTTCGTTCCGAGTGGAACATAGGGCTTCAACAACACATCTCCACTTTGTTCTGTTTTCTGCCATCCTCTTCAACTGGGTCCACGATTGACCAAACTCTTTCATCTCTTCCACACACGATCTCCTCCATCTCACCGTCACACCGACGACCCACCCGTCGCTTCCCATCGAGATTCCACTCCAGGGCCTGGAGTGCGATGTCATTTGGCGGCCTCCTCAATGTATGTCCGGTCCAAATCCACTTTCTCCTGCATATTTGTTGAGCGATAGGCTCTTGGTTGGCTTCTTCCCATAGTTTCTTGTTGCTTATTCTTTCTGGTCATTTGATCTTAAGTATGGAGCCATCGAAGGCAGATGTTGATGAAAGTCTGCAACCTGTCGGAAATCCTTTTCGTTACACACAGTGCAAGTTTCTGACCCGTATAGAAGAACCGACTTGACATTGATGTTGAAAATGCGAATCTTGTTCCTTATGCTGAGGTGGAGTGCAGAAGATTTCCAAACTGGTTTCAGGTTGATGAAGACATATCTCGCCTTTCCGATTCTGACTTTGACATCTTCATCCGTTCCGCCTGTAGTTGAAACGATGCTTCCCAGATAAGTGAAGGAGACAACCTCTGTTAAATCTCTTCCGTTGATGGTGATTGGTGCTGGTTGTTGTTGCTGTTGGTTGGTTATCTACCTGCAGTCCCGTTTTCGCTGCCAACCAGCCTCTTCTTCTACTTTATTGGTCTTCGCTTGCAAATTTTCGATTTTGTGTGACATTAGACATATATCATCTGCGAAATCCAGATCTTCTAGAGTCTTCTTATCGGTTGTCCAGCGTATTCCTGACTCCTCGCCCCCAACAGTCTGACGCATAATCCAGTCCACCACAATTAAGAATATCATCGTGGTGATAATAGGCAGCCAGCTTGTCTTACTCCTGTATGCACTTCAAACGCCTCGCTGAGTTTTCCATTGTGGATCACTTGACACGTGGCATTGTCATATAGCTGTTGAATGAGGTTGAAAAAGACTTGAGGTACACCGTAGTGTTGAAGTAGTTTCCAAATTAATTCTTGGTCTGCGCATAAAAGAGATAGATATTTCGTTCAACGTCAACTCCAAGCCTTCGTACGTTTATTATTATTATTTATTTATTTATTTAAAATACAAACTTGGTCACAGTGTGGGCACCAAAATACGTATACGCCATATAACAACAATAAAACAACAATATATATACATTCATTCATTGCTTCATACCACATTCAGAAAGAGAAGAAAGAAGGAAGTTGCAGCATGTTCACCATTGATTGCGATTCTTGGTCATATCCGATAACGTTTCGAGCTACTGATTTTAACTATCTCTCGGATTCCAACTAAGAAGTCATGGTATCGTACCAACTGATTCTAACCTAACACAAATATTCTTCATACTACTGTATCACGTCATAGGCTGACCGCCTTTTCCATCCAGTCCTAGGGATAGTGAACAGAGACCAGTACTGAAGACACCTGGATGACATTTGTAGCACATGTCCAAGCCATCGAAGCTGGTGTTTCTAGGTGACGACACTCAATGAATCTCCACGATGTTCAAACACACGCTGTCGAGCTCCAGACTTACTCACACGATGTTGCTACCGGACACAAGCAATTCTATGAAGACAGCGGTGATTGAATATGCAGATTCACCTTACACCCTCAGCTGGGAGAAGCCAGGTTTCACAAGTGTAGAGTAAGACTGCGCTCACTGGACCATCGTAATCCCTACGTTTGAAACCCAGGCTGACATCGCGACGGTGCCAGCAGTGGCCCTAATTGATGTAGGCCACCCTAGCTTTCCCTATACGGTCCGTCACACCAGTGGCACTCACACAACTATCCAGATACGCGAACTTGTTGATAACTGTAAGTGGTTGACCTAAAAGGGTGGGTGCAAGTAAAGGCTCCTGCCACAATTACGACAGTACCTTGAACTTCGAAGGCACAAAACACATACCATACTTACAGATACTGACACTAAGTGCGATTTCGGCAGCTAGCAAGCTATCTCACAGTAAGACGATATCGTCTACATATTTGAGGTCGAAAAGTCTTTCTCCTGGAAGCAGAACAACACCACGCATGTCCTTCACAGCTGACTCTAGAATGTTATCGATGGTAAACTTAAAGAGAAGTGGGGAGATTGGCAACTCTGTCTAAACCCATTGTTGCTTGGGAACAGTGGTGATGGCTGGTTGTATGCCCACCCTCTACGTGAAGTTATTGACTTTTCACTATTCAAAAGCGAAAAGTCAGAATAATGTATATTTTTTGATGAAACGCCTAAATGAATTGTGTATTTCTACATCATTTCTAAAGCAATTATGAAGGTTCTAGCAGAAGTGCAGCTTCTTTACAGAATTAAATTTCATACTATTAAGTTTTGAAACTAGTGAAAATGTAGCTTTCTACCTATTAGCTATAACTTAAACAAAAAGACCCAAATAAGATACCGTCTACTGAATCTTTTTAAAAGTAATATACTGTCAAAATGCATAAGAAGCTGAACAATGCAATAAATATATCCATCTGTGTTACTTGAGCAATAGTCAGTGATGGTTGTATTGGCTCATAGGTAAGCCTACATATAGTATGTCTGAGTATCGTCTTTAATTATTATATACCCCTAGTTTTGCTGTTATATGCCCTTAATTCCGTGTTGAGAAGGCCTTCGACAGCGTTGACCGTGAAGTAATTTGGAAACAACTCAAGTACTACGGCGTACCCCAAATATTCATCAACCTTATTCAACAGCTGTACGACAACGGCACATTTCAAGTGATCCACAACAGAAAACTCAGAGATGCTTTTGGAGTAAACACAGGAGTCAGACAAGGGTGCTTATTATCACCAATGATGTTCCTAATTGTGTTGGACTGGAAACGAGAAGACAGGGAAATCCTGGACCGACGTGAAGAATCCAGATGACCTGGATTTCGCGCGTGGATGATTTATGTTTGATGTTACACAAAATCGAAGACTTACAAGCGAAAACCGACAAACTGGTCGAAGAAGCAGCAAAGACAGGACTCCAGGTGAACAGAGACAAGACGGAGGTTATGAAAATAACCAACCAACAACAACAACAGCAGCAACATTCAGCGCCAATCACCATCAACGGGAGGGAATTGAAAGAGTTTACTTCTTTCACTTATCTAGGGAGCATTGTCTCAACTACAGGAGGAACGGACGAGGATGTCAAATCGAGAATCGGGAAGGCGAGAAACATATTCATCCACCTGAAACCAATCTGCAAATCTTCGTCACTCAGCATCAACAACAAAATTCGGATTTTCAATACAAACGTCAAGTCAGTCAGTTCTTCTATACGGATCAGAAACTTGGTGCATCACAAAGAATATTTCCAACAGCCTGTTGCAGACCTTTATCAACAGCTGTCTTCGCTCTATACTCAAGATCAGATGGCCGGAAAGAATCACCAACAAGAAACTATGGGAACAAACAAACCAGGAGTCGATCGCTCAACAAATATGTAGGAGAAAGTGGAGATGGATTGGAGGAGGCCTTTAGGTGACATCGCGCGTCAGGCCATAGCTCGAGTGGAGCCGGAAAGGGAAGCGGTGAGTGGGACGTCCAATGGTGACATGGAGGAGATCGTTTGAAGAAGAGTTGGAACAGTATAGACTAACATGGATGCAGGTGAAAAGTACAGCAGAAGACAGAAGAAAGTGGAGACATGCAGTTGAAGCCCTATGTTCCACTAGGAACCCAAGGGAACAATAATATAATAATAATTCCGTGTTGAGATGAAGAGTTGTAATTAGCATTTCAATTGATTTTACTTTTTTCAAAAATTGCGTGCTAAATGATATCGGATCGATATTTATTTATTTAGTCTGCTGATTGATTCTGTTTTTAAATCCATCTGTGTATATAAATAGATTATAACTACTATATATACTAATTTGAATTGTTACTTGAGACAGTAAAAGCTGTTTCACCAAAAGTTCGTCCGCTGTCCTATTTCCAGTGCTGAGAAATTGTTGTTGTGGTGATCGACTTTGTAATTGTGAATAGTTTGCTAGGTCGTATTATCGGTCATAACAGTAATATATTTATTAATATTATTGTTCCTTTGGGTTCCAAGTGGAACGTAGGGCTGCAACAGTATGTCTCCATTTTAGTCTGTTCTCTGCTGTCCTCCCCACGATTGCCCATAGTCTCTCATCTCCTTACACTATCACCTCTATGTCACCCTCGGAAGCCCCACTCGGGGGCCTGGCGCGCAATATCACCCAACGGTCTCAGCGCATACCCAAACCAGACCCTACTTTCTTCTACATAACAGTAATATATATTGTAAAGTGTTATAGATTTTCAAACAACTATTTTTTCAATCTTTTCTTTTACCTTGATTAAACTACTTACTTTGGTGAAAATTGATGAGCCACTAACCATTCAGCAACTTCTTCTTGTGATGCAAATTTAGACAGTCTTTGATCTGGTTTATCAAGTGTAGTTGTCGGTATAGGAACTGATTTGAGGCCACTTCCTCCGCCAAGTTGCATTTTAGAAAGTCTTTCTCGTAATTCTCTTGTCATAGTATGCATATGAGTTGCTGAAAAAATATACAGACACATATAAAATGAATATGCATAATAACTTGAATATCCTTATAATTTATTTATGCGAAGTGAAAGTAATTAGAGAGAATAATTGTGCTTTCAGGATCTACAATTAGAATATCCATTAGATTCAGTGTACAATATATAGCCAGCCAACAAAGGCAAATTAGAATTCTATCAAAAAGTGTATTGTGTGATACGAGTACAAGATGAAATAATAGTCAGCTAGTTTTGATTGGGATTTCGAAATATGTACGGTTGACAAGAACATGAGATGAGGTAATTCAATGATATATGTGTTTATAAATATGCAGTCAACAAAAGTACAAGTTACAATGGTGAGTGTAGTCAGAGACAAGATAAATATCACTGAGATATAAACCGACAAATAGGATAGACTAGACGTAAGTTCAAGGGTGACAAATAACAGCAATAATGATGATGGTGAAATAAAAACGATGGTGTGGTGTAAACTTAAAAGTACTACTAGTGAACGGTTAGCGATTTCTAAAAGAATATTTCGTCTGACTTTTTACATTAAGAAGTTAAGGCACTCGGGCATAACTAAACCCCTCCTCTTACAGTTTGTCACCTCGTACATCTTACCTATTCTTCTTTACTGTTCACCCTTATTCTTTCCGGGATTGCTTAAAAAAGACTATGTCATACTTTGTAGAACTCTGAAGACTGGCTGTCAGCAGGGTGAGTGGTATCTCATTGAGCCATATCGTTGACATGGTCATTGATAGGCACTTGATGTCATGCAACAAATTTGCTAAAGGAATTTTGTCAGACAGTTGTCATACAACGCAGCGCCCGCAGCTCCAACCTTGTGTCACCTCAGGTAAAACAAGAAGTCACTTCAAAAGATTTTACGCAGTTACGTCTAAGTATAAAAATTCCTCTATACCATATTTGCCACGTACTTTACGTGATGAAAATAGTGTCAGGCATGAACTAACTAACCTTCTTTGCACTAGTAAATAAACCGTTTCCTCCACCTGTACAACACCAAACTTTATTTTTATCGTACTTCTTATGTTTATAATCCTCTGTCTTTTGTTTTTATTTGTTTATTTTTTCATAAATGTGAACATCATTTAAGCTGCGTTATAACTGTTAATTTTGTATTTCCCCTCACTATACTATATCAACAGAACTTTAGATTCAATAATCTATAACATGCTAAAATTTCCAAACTGAATCGATAAAATTGTTTGAAACAAACTCACTATTATTATAATTATAATTACTTTTATTATTATATTTAATATTCTCAATTCGTACTTCGAATATTTTTGACTTTATATCGTAAATGTGGACAAATTCCTCCAGTTAATTTTGTTTTAATTTTATTAATTTTACTTATATTTTGAGTAAATCAGATGCAATATTGTGACAAATGCTGAGAATTCCATTGTGTATTATAAATACTGTTTTTAGAATAAAGCAGATTATTATTATTAAAACAATGAATTTAGTGAAGTGGAATGAACAGGGTTGTGCAAATATCATGTCAAGTCAGAAAACCATTTGGTAAACCTTAGGTAATAGACATAATAAGAAAGGTCACGAAGTCGTAAAAGGTCTGAAATAAACGTCTGTCAATGAAACAGAAAAAAAGAAGAAAAGAGTGGGATAGGAACTGAAAGTACCAATGTTTATGGAGGACTAGTTGATCTTATTTTAGGCCAAGGTAAACATAACGGTTGGGACATACTCCTTCTGTATACAGAGATCAAGTCTTCTGGTATTGATTGCTGCCGCTTCAGCTACTGATGGATGTAGTCGGGCTCCTCTGGATAGGTCGGAAGTAATGCGTTAGATGAAAACTCCTGCTGTGGTTTTATTTAGTGTCCAGTATATAATAATTGGGCTAGGACTGCATTATTTAAGCATTTAGTTTCCCCTTTACTCAAGCATACAGGTACATGTTCACGTACATGTATATTTTGTTTGTATATTCCTCTGTAATATTTATCTTGTCTCACAAACCACTGACTACACTAACCCTTGTAACTTGTACTTTTGTTAATTACATATTTATACATACACATCATTGAATTATCTCATCTCATGTTCTTATTAATCATACATATTTCCACATGATAATCATAACTAATCGACTACTATTTCATCTTGTACTCGTATCACACAATACACTTTCTGATATAATTCTAATTTGCCTTTACTGGTTGACTATTGTATGCTAAAATTAGTGGGTACTCTAATTGTAGATCCTGAAGGAGAATTCATTGAAACTACAATTATTCAATGGTGCGCCTGGGGCACAGTGGTAGAATGCTCGCCAGCCATGCAGGGGTTCCGGAGTTCGATCCCCGGCCGACACACTCCTTTACCTCGCTAAATCAGCAATAAGACTGGTAAAGATGGAAGGTTGGATTTTTTTGATGTGGTTGTGTTGTCTGAGCTGTCTGGTTTACTTGAGAAGCTTTCATTGCCCTACTAGGCAACATCTTCAGCGCATACCTCAGTTTGTTGAAGTGAGCTTTTAGATTTCTCCACAAGTTTATTAGTCATCTCTCCTGGTGGCCTTGAACGTGATTGGTTGTTTTTGTGTGTTTTCACACCCTCTAGGTTAATTGTATTATAACTGAGTGTTTCCTTGACTTGAACTTTGACCCTTTGTGTGCGACATTTCTTTCTTATTGACTGGTAAATTTCATCGAAGTCAGTGTGTCTATTAATTGATGGTTCACTGGAATACCAGTCTTCTAAAAATTCTGTAGCATTCTTGGTGTTTCCTCTGTCTAATATTTGAACGTTGTCCCCATCGAAATGATTTCCGTGGTTGTCTGTATGTAGTGATATGAAGGAGTGGAGGTGGCACAGTGGTTAGGACTCTCGCCGACCATGCATATGGTCCGGGGTTCGATCCCCTGCCGGCGCACACCCGATATCTATGGTATGCCTGAATTTGGGCAACCGATATCCATGCTGAAAATTCCATACTTGTACTGAAAATACGGTGTGGAATCAAGCTGTAAACCAAAAATCAAAAATAAAATAAAATGTCTTTTGACGGCTAGCTTATGTATATGGATACCAAGATGAAGAGGACGTCCACTTTTACCAGTGTAGTGTTTTCGCAGTTGTTACAATCTATTTTGTAGATGATGTTAGTTTTGTCTTCTTTTGCTGTTGAGTCTTTAGTTTAACACAGAGTTGAGTGGAGTGATTTTGTTGGTTTGTGTGTGGCGTCAATTCCTACAGGTTTGAAGAGTCTTGCAGTGATTTCTGAGATATCCTTTATATACGGTATGGCGATTTTCTTCGTGCTTTCCTTGGGGGCTTTTGATTTGATAGGCCGGCTTGGAGGTATATGCCTTTTGATGAAATTCCGTGGATATCCATTCTTTAGAAGACGTCCATGAGACATCTTCCTTCAATTTTCTTTAAGGTGGGTTTGCTGCAATGAGTCCTGGCCCTCTTGAATAGTGTTTGTATGCAATTCCTTTTGTGTGTTATTGGATTGTTGCTGTTGTAATTCAGGATTTGGCCTGTGTGAGTTGATTTTCTATAGACTTGAGTTTCTAATTCCCCTGTTGTTGTTCGCTTGATTAAGACGTCCAAAAATGGGATTTGGTTTTCTGATTCCTCTTCTCTTGTGAATTTGATGTCGTTGAAGACGTTGTTTATTAAGTTGTGAGTTTTATCTAACTAATTTCTTTTGATTATTACAAATGTGTCGTCTACGTAACGTATCCAAATCTTGGGTTTGATCTTTGGTAGGATTATGTTTTCCGGTCTTTGGATCACTGCTTCTGCAATCAAACCTGATATTGGTGATCCCATTGGTACTTCTTTAACTTGTTCATATATTTGGCCGTTAGGCATAGGTTTATGTATTCCATCCCCTAAAAAAATAAATACCACTGCTAATGAAACTTCAAGCCTCTAGCTCGGAGCCCTATGTTCCACGGAGAGTGTAAAGGAATAATAAAATAAAAAATAATTATTCACTGTAATTATTTTCCTCCTGAATGCATAATAAACAACGCAACAACAAAATATTCGTTTGAAATTCATCACAGTGGAAACAATTCGATATAATAGCAAAGACATTAGCTCTATGTTGTTAGCCAGATAGCTTCTTATGTTTTTTAAAAAAAAAGTACGGCATATTACTTATTTTAGCAAAAAATTATATTATTCATTCTTAGTTAAGTTAATTTTGGAGTTAAAATGAAATAGGTGGCGTGTGCTACTTATAAGATATATAAGTAGTATACTGACGCGAGTATAAATATAAACGTCATCTGCAAGAATATCGAATGGTGGAGAGATGGATGGATTCAATGACGCAGAGAAGAAATGAATGATGCTCGTGAAAAAAACATGGAAAACATGAAAGGAAGACAAAGTAACACAATACCAAAGGTATGTGCAAACTGTGATTTTGATATATGGTTTTTTTTATTACAGCTTGATTCCACACCGTATTTTTTGGTACAGGTATGGAATTTTCAGCATGTGATATCGGCAGCCCAAATTTTGCAGGCCGACCATAGATATAAGGTGTGCGTCGGTAGGGGATCGAATCCCGGACCATATGCATGGTCGGCGAGAGTCATAACCACTATACCACCGACGCACACTAGATGGTTGGAGGGGAACAGCAAGAAGCTTGAGCCCGAATAATAGCTCAGTGGTAATGTCTCTGACTGCAGCACTGCACTGGGTGACGCAGGTTCGAATCTCGGAAGGGATATAAGTCCCTTCATGGTTGCAGACAATACGCCTTGATGACTGGTGAGTGACAACAAGGACGAAACTTAGGTCGTACAAGGCTTCCTGTGGCCGATTGCCTCCAACCATCTAATAATAATAACAACAACAACTCAGAGTGCACCGTGATGGCAAGCCACTTAGCATGCTGGCCACAGTGCAAATTTGAACGTGATAGAATTCATTCTGCACCAAACAAAGGACTTGACACACTACACTAGTCAATGACTGGTGTT